CGCCGACTTTCTGGCGGCCGCCGCCAAGCTGCCCATCTCCTTCAAGGCGCTGGCCGCCTCGATGAAGGCGCAGGCGGCGGCGGCAGCTGCTGGCGGTGCTGCTGGCGGTGCTGCTCCTCCGGTCACTTCCGCTAGTGCCACTACCACTACTACTACCAGTGCCACTACCCCTGCCACCACCCCTGCCACTACCCCTACCACTTCCGCTGCCGCTGCCTCAGCCTCAGCCTCAGCCTCAGCGACATACCGATCTCCAGGCTTCACCACGCTGATTTCGGCCTTCTCAAAGCGGAACTCGGTTTCGGGCCCGCCCTCCGTTCCCTCCTCTTCCTTCTCATCCTCGCCAGCCAAACTTCGAAAGTTGGTAGTTCANACAGCCACAGCCACAGCCACAACAACAGCCACAGCAGTTACCAAATCAATCATTGGCATTTACCGGCAAACATCAGCCGCATCTGCGATACATTCTCCCTAAGCCGGTTCAGCCATCAGAGGGCAAGAGAAAGCTCTCTGAACTGGAGGACCAGAACGAGGACGATGATAATGAAAAAGAAGAGAAGGAGGAGGAGGAGGAGGAGGAGGACGAGGTGCAGTTTCTCGACAGTGTCCCTAGTTTCAGCAACGGCAGAAGTAGCAGCATTCCTGGTGCTGGTGCTGGAAAGCTGCTGCTGCGAAACTACAGCAGAAAGCGACCGGCCACTGAGGCGGCGGCGGCGGCAAATCAGACAACAGCAGCAACAACAAGTCAACAACAGCAAACTCAGCCTCAGCCTCAGACTCTGCTTCTGCAGCCAAGTCAGCCTCAGCAAAAAAAGGCGTCCGATCAAACGACCCAAAAGGTGAGCGTTCAGCAGGGGCAGCGGGCGAATCAGCCACAACTGACGGTTCAGCCAATGATTTTGCTGCCAATTCTGCTACAACAGCAGCCGCAGCTGCCACAGAATCAGCAGAATCAGTCATCGGCTGCAGCTGCAGCGCGACCAAACTATCGACCGATTCTGCCTAAGCCTGTTCAGCCAACACCACCACCAAATGAGCCACAAAAACAGCAGCAGCAGCAGCAGAAGAAAAAACAACCAACTTTAAAGCTGACACCGCAACAGCGCCAACAGCTACTCCAGCTGAAGGAACAACAACTGCAGCACATTCAGCAGCTGCAGAAGGAGAAGGAGAAGGAAGGTCTGCGAAGCTCTCCTCGATTTCTGGCCAAACTGCAGCAGCAGAAGCAAACTGCACCCAAAGAAGAGCAAACAAAGCAAACCGAACAGTCTCAGCCCAAAGCTCAAACTCAAACTCAAACTCAAACTCAATCTCAATCTCAAAATCAAAGTCAAAGACAAACGAACCGTCCATCGTCACTGAGCTTGACCAGTACGCCTAAGCCTAGGCCCGCGCAGCAGCAACCTCAACAACAGCAAAAACAGCAGAAAAAACCACAACCTGAACAAAAGCAACCGGAACAAACGCAACAACCCGAGCCACCACCGTTCACCAGCGAACAGACCCGCAAAGTTAAGGACTCACCGGAAACGGTGCTGGAAGCGGTGCCGATCGTTTCCCCTTTGTCTCAGCAACAGCAGCAGCCACAACAACAGAAACCACAGCAACCACAGCCACTACCACCACCACCACCACCAAACACACAACCCCTCCGAACCCGACGATCTCTGCGAATTTCTAAATTTCCTCAGCCGCCACCGGAGCCGGAAACGAAACCAAAAACAAAACCGAAACTAGAACCGAAACCACAGCAGAAGCCACAGCTGAAAACGGTAAAAGTGGAGCCCAAGAAAGAGGAGGAGGACACCGAGGATTCCGACTGGCAATCATCATCGGCCTCGGTTCAGCCTTCTTCTTCTTCTTCAACCTCAACCTCAACCTCAACCTCAACCTCAACCTTCAACTCCAAACGGGCCCGCAAGCGACCTTTCCTTCACCTGCCCGAATCGCCGGTTGGGCGGCCCGGGCTGCTTCGTGAGCAGCTGCGCCTTCAGCGACCAGGATTCCTAGGCCCTAACTCCTCCTCCTNTCCTCCTCCTCGCAGCCGCCCATTTCCGTCCTCTACCGGTGCACCTTCCCGGGCTGTGGCAATACCAGCCGCTACGTGTGGAACGTCCAGCTGCACATCCGCCACGCCCACCTGAATCTGCCGAAGACGGTGAAGCAGGCGAAGACGATCGCCGGGCTGGAGCAGCAACGGCAGGTGGACCAGTACGTGGAGCGGATTGAGGCGGCATTGCTGCTGGCCAGCGATGATGGTGGCAAACAGTAGAAAGAAAGAAAGAAAATGGACACATGGACACAGAAAAGGTGACAACGATGGGCATTAAAAACAAAGCAAAGGACTAACTGAATTGTGATAAAGTACAAAACAGGCTAAACAGGCCTCACAACACACAGTGCTTGAAAATGAAACCCGCAAAGCAAAACACACCTCTTTCAGCTTACTTTTCTCCTAATTACCTAGCAATTTTAATGCTTTTCTTCTCCAATTGCTTATCAACTTTAATATTTTTTTCAATTATGGCTATTTTCAGTACTTTACCTTTTTTCTTTCTCACTTTGTGTTTGTATTTTACCCTTATATTGTAGTACTACTTACTACCCGCTGTGAATCTCTCGAAACACAAGTTAATCTGAGATGAAATGATATTATGATTATGATATGATGTTTTGCCCATTGCCTTACTCTCCAAATGCTTTTTCTAATTTTCCCCTATGATGTTTGTAACTTTGTAGCAGTTTTTTCTTATTAAATAAATAAAACCTTCTTTTTCTAAACAAAAAACCATTGTTGCAAGGTGAATTAGGTAAACTAGTGTAAGGTTGTATTTATTGGAACAAAGCAAAACTGAAAAAAGAGAAAGGGAAGTTGAAGTAAAGAAAACAGGACTGATTGTGAGAACTTTGAACACAAAAAATGAACTGATTGAATGGTAGGACAAACAGTGTTAGCTGTTTGCAGTAATGTGAAGCAAACTATTTACTTGGTTTTTAAGAAAATGCATTTTTGAAGATTGTTGAATTTGGAATCTTTCTTTCTCTCTTTTATTGTTTGCTTTGCGCTGCCTTATGATTGCACGCAAAATCGCTGCTATATTAACCTAGTTTGATACTGCTCTCCGTTATTTTTCTGGCGCCATTGGCACTAAAAGAGCACATGTTTCGGTGTACAGCACACACTACTTCACTTC